AAACCCTATAAAAAAAAAAAATTGGGGGGCCCGCCCATTAGCTCAGTTGTTTAAGTGCCTGCTTAAACGAGGCAGTCAGTCTCTGGGAGCGGTGGTTCGATTCCCAGATACTCAAGGCAACCCAGACCAGCACTGGAGGCAATCTGGAGCCGCCAAAAAACAAAACAAAAAAACCCTTCTGCATTAAAAAAAAAAAAATTGCCCAAGCAATAGGGATATAGCCTTTAATTACTGAGTATATTTTCCCTGATTCTTTGTCAGTTAAAAGATGGAGATGATACTGCATGAGACCGAATCGTCAGTAGAACATCATTTTAAATAAGCATCAAATTTGTAGCTGAAGCCCAGTTTTGCTAACAAAAAAACAGCAGTACCAAATGGGAAATGTACACAACATCATAACTATTGCTTGAAAGTTTAAATCTGTTTACCTCCATAACATCTTCTAAATTCTCTTCTGCATCTGTTTTCTCTGTCATCAGTTTCGCTGCCTTAAAATAAGTCTTCATAAGTAGATAACCTCTTTTTGCTCCATTCCAGTATGACCGAGGAATTTCCACCAACCCATACCCCAACAACAACACAAGAAGAAACAAACCCCATGTATTGGCGGCAGCTATACCAATTGTCTGAAGTTGGTTCCTAAAAGAAAGCATAACCATATGGCTGTGATAAATATATTTTCCTACAAAAAATAAAACCAACTAGTATTGAATGTTTTTTCAGTAAACCACTTTAAAGGATAGCTAGGATTTTAAATGAAAAGGTTAGACTTTCAAATATTTCTATTCTTATTTTCAGGCATAGCAGATATATTTTAATGAAAAGGAAGGTGGTTCATTAACCTGATGCTTTCCACGATTCTGGTTGCAAACTGAATTGGATGAAAACCAAATCAAATTTCTCTAAAAGGTCAACATTGAACCTAACCATTGGATTTGATTCGGTTCTCATCCGATTCAGTTGTGACCAGGATTCATGGAAAGAATTAAGTATATGAACCTAAGTACTATTATACCTCATAAATGGATTTCAACATGGAAAATATTGCTTCTATTAAGGTTAAAATTAGCATGTTTTTTTTTTTTTTTTTTTTTGTGGGCAGAACTGGGGATTGAACTCAGGCCCTTGCGCTTGCCAGG